ATATATATATATATAATTTTGTCTACGTATATACAAATCTATACAAATACAACACACAAATATAAACTATTCTGTGTGGGGAATGGAAATCACTTGTACTACTTTATATTTTCTTTCCTCCAAAAACCAATTCTACTGAGATAAATTTGACATATAATGAATTACATGTGCTAAAAGTACATAATTTGATGCATTAAAGCGTATAAATTGATGAGTTTTGGCTTGAGTATACACCCACAAAGTTATGACACTATTTTCTTCTGGTTAGACTCAGGTATGGCAGTATAAGTGGTAAAGAATTTAGGGAAAAACTAATTTTTTTTTTATTTAAAGCTTTCGATCTTGCTCCCAAAATATAAAGTGATGATTACTGTAAATTAAAAAAAAAACAAAAACTCAACCAATCAGAAAAGTAGGGAAAAGAAGATAAGTTATCCATTGTGCAGTTATAATCAGTCACCACCTTGGTGAACAGCCACCCGCTGTCATTTTACATAAGTGAGACAGCACTCAATGCTGTGTCCTGAAACAATAAATACAGATTATAACATCATTTACTTGATTGTATTTTTAATGAATGTGCATTGCTTCTGATTTCCTCTGTGCACGATCATGCTGAAGCTAACTATGTATGCTTATCTCAATACTGCCTTAGGACAAAATCCTAAATCAGAGTCAAAGTAAAACTTGGAAGCACATTGTCAGTCTCCCATAATGAATGAGAAGGTCTGTTTCTGCGGTTGCTTGCTAACACTGCTTCCTGTCAAATCTTTCTTGTCTCCGCTAACTTCTGGGGAGGAAGGTATCACCTCAAGCCATCAATGATCTCTCACAGGGGTGCTGCTTGGTGGCAGTGTCGTCTCTGGTCCCTGACATGCAGCTGGGCATGCAGTGGGTCTGTGCTGAGTGAAGGAGGACTCTCGGTGCTCTTCTGTAGTTAACACAGAGCACTGGAGTCAACTCCTCAGCTATTTAATAAAAGTGCATTAAGTTTCTCCACAACAGATGCTGTAGAAGGGCTTATTGCTGCTGTAAAGTTGGTTCTGTGTTACTGTACCCACACGGATTTCTACTCAAAATAAAACCAGGGCAACTGAATGAGGAAAAGGAGGCCTTTTGGGTTAAATGTGGTATTGTCAAAGAAATATTTCGAAAAAAAATGTAAATGAGTGACTCTTAAAGCAAACAAGCAAACAAAGAATTTGTCTTCTGAAACATAAAGGACCCTATTTTTGAGGAAAGATGGTAGTAAAAGGCATGAGGATTCATATTCTGCCAAAATCATAGCTTGCTGCTCTGAGGAATGATGGATTTTAATTCCAGGTACATAGTGGCCCTTGACAATGATTTCCATTTCTATATTGGTACTAGCCCTCTGGATAAATGTGTCAAAGAGTTTTAGGAATTAGTTTCTGAGTTACTGATGCAATAACTTTTGTCTGAAATTCTCTGGCCTCCCATAGTTTACTGCTGCAACTTTAATAACTTTCAGTTGCCAAACATATAGTATATCCAGGGAGGCTGGGACTAGAAAAGGGCAAACATATACCTAGGGTCAGATTTGTCTGAGACATACAAAAAACCCAATGAAAATCAAATGCAAGCTCTCTTCCCTGCCTGCCTCCATTTTCTTTGTTTATTTACATCCCAGTGCTCAAGAAACCAGCTTATTAGGGTCCTGCTTGGCTAGCTTTGCCAGGTGGTAGCTCTGCTTATGAAGAGGTAGGTTATCTTCTGACCTAGAGCCACCTGAAGCAATCACCATCTAGAAACAAATCTCCAACTGTATCCACGTGCTGGGGACCTGTGACTGTCTCAGTACTGGTACCTCAATCCATCAATGTGACAGTGTAGGATGCCCACCCGGAACGTAGGAAGCCAGGAGGACTCCACGGACAGCCTCACAGTGCATTATCCTTTGCATATCTCTCTGGAGCTCTCCAGTTCCACTTCTGCCTCTGCCCCTCCTTTGCCTGGTAACTTTGAACAAGGACTTCTCTCCAGTGCCTGAAGTTTTGGATGTTTTCTGATCAATTGTAATTCTCAGGCAGAGAAAGTGCATCCAACTTCGTGTGAATTTTCTGAGAAAAGGAGGGACACCCATTTCTGGAGAACGGCTCCATCATAACGAACACATAAAAACAGGACGGAGGGTTGGTTTGTGAATATCAAGGCCCATTTCTGACCTAGAGGTCAGAGGTAGTATTCACCAAACTGGGAGCTTGGTCCTAGATTCTGGTCTTGGATTTCCTTGGACCTAGGCAAACCCTGAACCGCCTCGGGTTTTAGTTTCCTTATCAGCAGAAAGTGGACATTGAATGAAAAGTTCTCGAGGCCCTTACTGATCTGATGCCCACACTTCACTCCATCCTTCTCAGAGAAACACAGACTCACCCAAGGTCACCAATTTGGTTTCCTACAGACCTAAAATTAGTATTCCTCTTAGACTGCAAGTACAACATACGGGTCTCTCTCATTTCACAGTCACGTGCATTTCCCATCCCTGAAATCACAAGGGATAGAAAAGGATTTATCTACACATAGCACTGCTGAGGGGATCACCCATCTGGGTCTTGAAGAGAGACAGTCCAGCCAGGTAGTGGAATACGCTGTCCAAAAAATCCACAAAAAGTTGTAAGAATCTCTGACGTGGAAACAGAAGGAATCTCTACACCACCCTCCCAGGTTAGTCTCCGCATAGAAACCGTCTGGCATGTCTGATGCGAGACAAACTACTGAAGAGACTGAAAGGTTGGCAGCCATGAGTCAAGAGGGTGAAGCCACCAAGTTAGTTTGAGCACAGAATGAAAGGCCAGTTTGTGACAGCACATGAGGCCACGGCAGGTGACAAGAAATGCGTTTTACTTTGCTGCTTATCATACCCCAGTGGGCATAATACAGGTATCAGCTGCCTCACTAAAGGAGTCCTTTAACCTGACAAGCTGCTTACGGGATACCTTTCTGAGATAGTTTTGGCTGCTGCAAACAATACAGTGAGGGCTACCCTTGGTCCTCAGCTCTACTCTCTGCCAGCGATGTAAGCTTAGAGAAGCGACTTAACTTAGCCAAGCTTCTGTTTGCTTGTTCTTATGACTGCAGGTCAGAATGCCAGGCTGGCTGGGGTATAGTGAGGAACTGTGAGAAAGATGAACGCAAAGAAACTAGAGCAGCTCCTTGTACACAGCAGGACCTCAACAAAAGGACCTGTTCTTATAGGGGCCTGTAGTTTCTTATTGCACAATAATCCATGCAAATATCTGTACCTCACTTCATTTGTGAAATTCAAGGTGGGAAAGGAATGTAACTGGTAAACGAGGATGGGGAAGCCATCACAATTTCTGAATAGCAGCCACCAAATCTTTTTTTTTTTAACAAAGAAAAAACTTAGTTAAATGGATCTTCCTATGATAACCCTCCAAATTATGTTGGAATATTTCTGTAGCAAGATAAATTGGATTATGATAGCAGATTAATATTCTTCTCAGAGCCCTGCAAAAGCTCCTGTCTCACTTACTGTAAAATCTCTTTTCTGTCTTTGCAATGTTCTGCGTCGTGTGAAAAGATGCTTTGCGTCTAGGTCTACCTTAGAGTTCAGTCACATTCCATTTCCCAGGTATTTGCCGATACGCGGTTGCACACTAGATAAAGTATAGATGCTCTGGGTTTAGGATTTTGCTTGTCCTTAGGAGTTTATAGACTGGTGAAAAAAATACAAACCAAAATTTACAGCGAACAGCAGCTCACTGGAGCTGGGTGGGTGATGGAGATACCATGTGCTATTGAAGCGTAGAAGGCAAGTTGACATTTCGGATTGGGGGATCAGGATAGGCATGGGCTGTGAGGAGGGGACAGGAATTTGGAAATAGGAAGGGCAGAAAAGATTAGAACAAACACATGAACTCAGCTTCCTAGACAGTGTGTGGTTAGAGAACAGGTGTGTGTCTAGGTGGGGAGAGGAAGAGGAGGGAGAGGGCAGAGAGAGAGGGAGTCAAGGAAGGACGGGGATGGAGGAAGAGAGAGAGACAGACAGACAGAAAGGGCTGAGGACAAGATAAAACCCCCAAGTGTGTACCCTCATGGCCCACTCTCTTCAATTAGGCCTCACCTCCTAAATTTGCATCACTTCCCAATAATGCCATCAAATTGTGAATCTGTCAATAGGCTGACGAGGTTGGAGCCC